GATCATCAGCAAGATCAAAATTATCTCACACTTTTATAATCAAACTTTTGCAAGAACTTTCACCATAACATATGTTAAGTTGATCATTTTTTTGTGACCTGCAACAGTGTCCACTATGCTGGTGAGAATACTATAATAGAGCTTGGATCCGGATAGTAAAATCCTTAGGATATCCGCAGATATCTGGATAGAGATTTGATGAATGGATAGGATATCCAGATAGGGTTTTGATGAATGGATAGGATATCTGGATGAGAGATTTTGATAAACGGATATCCAGATATCTGTAAGGTGAGAAATGGATTTCTATTACTATATTAATATCCACATTAGTATTAGTATATATAATAATAATATTTGGTTGATCTAATACTAACTAAATTATTTTACTTATTTAATTCTTTGATTTATTTTTGTTCTTAAACAAGAAAGATATATTTTTACTCAGTCAAAATTAAATTATTTTTGTCCCACTAACTAATTAACAAATAAATAGACAATAATGATGACAAAAAATACTAATTAAGAATACGAATATTAATATTAATATTAACAAAAAAAAAAGAAAAACGAAAACGAAAAAGGCTATGTCACATGCCATCATATGATTGGATGGTGTTTCGATAAACCCGTTTTTCTATCACAATAATATTAATATTAATAATACAAATGAATAGGATATCCGGATCCAAGCTCTATACTATAATAAGTGATTCAAATTATCTTGATAATTTCTTTAAACATGTATTTTTTCAGATTAATCACTAGATCTAGCAAATATTGGATGATCTGTTGCTATAAATGGTTTTAGAAACACTATCTCAAGTATTTCAAATTATTCATTGGAATCAAATTGTAAACATGATCAGCTAACAATTGCAGAAAAATCTCAAAGTTTTAATCTAGTTTCTATGGATTGTGAAGATAGTGACATTCAATATATTTTGAATTTATTGAGATACACATAAAAACTGTTCATAAAATTATGAATGTTATTGATAAATATTAAATTTATTTTCTAATAAAAATTTGTGATTAGTATTGAAATGATAGATAAAGGCATACCTAACAGACAGAATTCAGAATGTGATTTAGACTTTTTTTTTCAATGTACATGTATACAAATGTATATCAAGTTATATGGATTCACATTAGTAAGTAACTTCTTTATCTGAAAATCATAAAATCTTTATGACCATTAATAATAAATCATATACTATTTTTTATCAGTGGTGAAGCTCAATCAAGAACATCAAAATTTAGAAAAGAATTATCATCATCTATACATTTCACACCCTCTACTTCTAAAAAATATAAAATTCATGGTGCTAGTTGTGACTGGTTATTTAGTGCAAGTAAAAGTAGTTCTCAAAATATTTAAAACTAATTGACTAATTTGTTGATTTTAATGAAATTTAGTTTCATGCACTTAATTTTTCAGCTTTAATAGAATATTGTACTCAAAACAAAGCATACACTTCTAAAAATATGTTTCGAATCAAAGCAAATATCCAATTAACCAACCAAAATTCAAATACAAATACAAATCCATCTACAATAAGTAGTTTAGTGTCACAAGCAGTTAGCAATCTTAATAGTAATAACAATCAACCAAAATTATGTTTAATAAGATGGGGAATGAGAAAGAGATTAGACAATATAAATCAAATAACTCAAGATACTGGATTGAACCAACTAAATTTAAATAGTTCTGGTAAGAATATTTAATCTCATAAAATTTTCTCAAAAACATGTTACTAATTTTAAATTTAATGCAGAATAACCTTCTATACCAGCTATCACCATTGCAAATATCTCATCAATATATCCAGCAATTAAAGGAGGATTTGCCTTTGCATTAATTAATTCTAAAATCCATCTTGTTCAATTTCTAGCATTATATTATCACTCAACTACAGGAAATTATCATTCTTACACAAAAGAGTCAATAACTAATGTTGATATTGTCACTGGAATTAGATTCGGATGCTCTTTTGGCCGAATTTAACTAATTCCGAAATTCTTAATTTTTATTATTATTATATTTTATTTATTTTCTTAATTTAGTATTATTTTATCCGTATTACATCTATTTTCGTAATATGTTTTATTTTTATTTTTATTTCTATTAATTATTTGTATAACGTCGTAATTTATTTAACTTTATTAAGGAAGAATCGTATTTCCAATATTACAATTTTGAAATATCGGCACAATTTTGAAATATTATTACAATATTGAACGGAAATTTCAATTTTGAAATATTAGAATTACTAATTAATTGAATTGTATATAAGGAGCTTGAATTCAATGTACTTGTAAAGTAACTTTGTAATAAGTTAATTAGTTTCGACTAAGAAAAACTAAATAAATAAAATAATAAATATTTTATTTAAAACTTTTATCTTCTTTAAACAAAATTATTCGCTAACCCAAAATCAATTCGTTGATAACCTTCATTCTGATCCACACAAAATAAAAATAATTGTTATCACCAATTAAAAATACGCTCTCCCAAAGTTTAATCGGTGACAATATTATTTCAAATGTTTTCTGTAAAGTATATATTAATCTTCAAAATAATATTATTTATTTAACAAGCAAAGATGAACATGAATTGTTCTCACATTTGTCATGAAAACAAATCATCTATTATCTTGATAGTTCAAGTTTCAATTAGTGTGAATAGTATGAATAATACAAATATGATTATTTTACACTCAAATGCATTTAAAATTTATAAAATTCTAACAGATGAAAAGATTTTATTGTCTATTCTGCATTGTCTAAATGTTTAAATAAAACAAATAAAATATCATAGGTAATTTCATAGGTAAAATTATATATTTTTGGATGTGATATGAAAATTTCAGGGTAAAATTATCAAGCTTTTTGGGGGTAAAAATGGTCATTCTCACTAATTGAGTGCCCTATGACCTCTAATATGATTGTCCGGAGCCCTAGTAGAGAACTATAAGGAACTGATTGATTCAAGTCACAATTGAAAGAGCAAGCAGTATTAACTAATAATTTTAGTATTAACTAGATGTTACCAGACACCTAAATTTATATTTGTTACATGAGAATTTTCATAAATATATTTTTTTTTTCAAGGATAATAATGTTAATAATAATTATAGAAACTTATTAACAATTTGCATAATTGAAAATCATATTTTTTTCAAATATGATGAGTTTGAAAATTCTAACAGTTGTATATAATTCTTGAATGCAATTATAGTATTAATAAACTTTGTATGTGAAGCTTTAAAAGTAATCATAAAAGTATATCATGATAATCAAAATTGAAAAAATCAAAAAATCAATTTTATTGGTAATTTGTGGTTATTATGAAAGTATTGAATTAAATTTCAGACATACCAAATTCAAGTGTGATGGTAGTTTTGTATTATTAAAAAACTTTATAGAAAAACAAGTGGATTGTGTGGACCATGTGGTTGAGGTGGTGAAAAGATCTAGTCCAGCAGGATTGAATAAAACTCAATGTTATGAAGATGGAAAAGGCTTTCAATACTTGGATATCAAATCAATTTTGGGAATTTATTTTAAGAAATTACCAGTATACAGAAATATCAACATTTTCTTTTTGAAGCTGTTAATGGACCTTTTACTGAATTCAATTTATTGAAAACCAAGAAAGCAGATATTTTTGAAGAAATTAAAGCTTTATCTATTTTAATGTTAACAAAGATATTACTTGTCCAAAGCCAACTTACAGTAAAAATATATTATGAATCAAAATAAAATTGACTCTCTAATCAAACAAAAGTCTCAAGATCCTTAAAAATTATTTGTGATTGGATGAATTTTTGTTTCCTTATTGACCTCATGAAATTTATAAATTTGGCCAAAAGCATGGTCTTTGGTTAGATATTCCTTTGAAGATTTTTTCAAAACTTTTTGGGAAAAAGTAACTATAGTTAATTGAAGAGGTGGTGCTGGTAAGAGTAAAGAAATTGAATGAATATGTAGGAGAAAATGAAAAAGAAAAATTACTTGTTAAAGACTTTGAGATTGAAAAATTTAAGGAGAGAAGAAAGAAAAAAAGGCAGTGATAAATACTCAGAAGTGGATAGTTTAGATAATACTCCATTACTTTCCCTTAATAATGACTTACTATTGGCTTTAAAAAATGATTTGATTAATAATGATTTAGTGATTATTTCTTCTACTAATGCTAAAGAAAACAAAATGTCTGCAAATGGGAAATTCAAGAGGGAAGGCTTTTGGAAATTTTCCCCAGTGTAACTTAAAAATGATTAGACTTTGTAAAATTGATGGACAAAATAAGCCTCACCTTTCAGAATGGATAAAAGAAAACCATCCTGATTCTGATATTTTTATTGATGATGGTCATACATGAATAACCTCAACCAGAAAACTATTGGTTCAGAGAAAACCTATGTAATGCCTGATTATAAATCTAATTGTCATGTTCAGGAAGATAATCTTTATCACCCAAAAACCACTGTTAGCAATCTAAAATATCAAGACTTTGCCAAAGCTGCTGAGGAATATAAAAACAATACTTCAAAGAATGAAGAAAAGTTTGATGGTAAATCTATTGGATTATGAATAGCAAGTATAACTTTAATCTTAGGCTTTATAATTGCTATGATTTATGTTACTAAAAGAATTAAAAGGAAAAAATAGATTAATTGTTCAACCATAAGACTTCATTTTTCATATTATTTTCCTTCTAAGGATTTCTGTTTTTTTGTTAGGTAATATCATATCTTTGTTCTGCTTTCTTTTACTGATGTTTATCATTTTTCTTTCTTGGTAAATTTCATAGGTAATCTTTCTTTCCTTAGATAAGTTTCAATTGTCTGAGTATCATTTATTTTGAGCAATTTTTTCGCCTTGTTCCTTTTTTAAAATACTACTGATAGTACTATATATAATTCTTGGGTTCCATAGGACCCCGAACAATCTTAGGAGATGGTACATTTCAATTTTGGGTAGAAATGGCCCTCAAAATCGAATATCATTTCTTAATTAGGATAAATTTTGTGATGATCTTGTAAATTATTTCCAAAAATGGTAATAAAGTGGGTATTTTTTCAAATGTACCATCTCCTAAGATTGTTCGGGGTCCTGATGTAACATATGTTTGATGATCAACAGCCATGGAACACCACAATTATTTTATGATAAATGAATGATACAATTGAAGATACAACTGCTGAGATAATAAAATATTAATGCATTATTTGTGGTAAATCATCAAATGATTAAAGTGAAAAAAGTTCTCTTACATCAGATATTTTATTACATATAATAATAATCATTTTGCTAGTGACGAAATATTAAAATTATTAAATTACAATTACTAAAATAGTAATGATGACCCTTCACATGAAACATCATGTGAGACCGACTTATTGTGATTCATTTGGGCTAAGTGATTGACCAACTTAGCACTTATCACAGTTTTACATAGATCAACTGACTTATCGAATTTTTTTAAATATGGTGCACCAACTCTTAACCTGGCAATAAAATCACCTGACTTTGAAACCTTTCAACTCAGCATAGAGACCTTTTTTTAAAAATATACCAGTAAATATGTTCATTGCAATAATTACTACAAAATTACTGGTTGGTTTGCCAAAAAAATGATTCTATGTTGAGTTGAAAGGTTTCAAAGTTGAAGTATTTTTATAAGTTCTGCCAAAAATTGAAACATATCGTGGGTGGCAATCATTCCAAATTTAGTATTCAATGTAACTTATGTCACGTGCAATAATTTTAAATTGTTTCAATTTCCAAAAATTCATTAAGATTATCTGGTTGATGGTCAGGAAGCTTGCCATTATGAAAAAAATAATTTCCCCAAGCTCTAATACAATGTGACATGTAGTTCCTTTTCTCCAAAAAATTTTTGCAACCTGCAAACTTGCATCTATTTTCCCCATTCCATTTAACATAATTGATAATACTGGCTTAAACTCAAAAGTTGTATATGTTTGTAAGCACCATAAGAATTGTTTGATTTAGAGATTTTGCAATGATCATTCAAATCCTCTAAACATGCTTGCAAGTCAGAGAAGAATAATGATGAAGCAGAAGAATTTGACAAAAGTAAGGATGTTAATGGTGATATTGACCACATGGATGAGGATGAAAGTGTAGGTGCAGATGTAGATATTGATGGTTGAAAAAAAGTATCAATTTTTTCAATTGACTTTGCATGTTCTTTTAATTCTTCTATTGCTTTACATCTACACTATTGAGTGGTTCTTGATGTAGAATTATAGTAAACTCTCTTATTTTTTAATGCATCTTTCTTCCATACTAACTCCAGCCTTTTTTCAATGTCTTGAATAAGGCTCTGCATGAGCCAGCTCACAAGCCAAATAACTTAGTAGGCTCGCAAGCTGAATAAGTTTTTTGGCTTGCAAGCCAGCTCGTGAGGAGCTTTAGTCTTGAAATTCCTATAAATCTTCTACTGACCATTGTTTACTTTCTTCTAAACTTCTTGGATTTGACCATCATCATTCTCTATTAATTCCAGTTGTTGCTCTTGAAGTTCAGAAAAACAACCATTTTTATTTTGGTGTCTAGTTGTCACTTGTTGTTTACAATCACTAGGATGAGGCATTTTATATAAAAATTAAGCTATAGTGCAAGTCACTTAGTTGCTGAACTTTTTATTGGCTGTGTAGATCCTTGATCTCCTCCAAAAATGGAAATGTATGACCAAAAAAAACAAATCATAGAATTAAAGCTAAGACCTTTCTCTACAATCCAATGATTTCATTTCATTGATATGTAATGTTACCATAGAAGAACGATGCATCAAAGTTCACGAATTTACTATGTTAACCCCCCAGATGGTGTGTTACATGAAAGAAAAATTATATTAAAAATGAATGAATTGGAAGAATTGAAATTTTTAAATTTTTTATGGCCAATCTATATCACGTGATAATAATAATAATGAAATTTTACAACTGAGAATACATTGCTTTTTTATGTATTATGCAATCATGCATGTCATGCTACGCAAGATCAAAAATTTATCTATTTTAGCATCATGTTGACATTAAAATTAAGTTGGTTTGCAATCTTCAAAAATCACGCAACTAAATTTTTTTACTGCATTTTTGATTGGAATATTTTTTCTCAAAATTGGCATCATGGCACAAAAAGTTCAGTGACTAAGTGATTTGCACCATAGTACAATTGTATGAATTATTTTTCAAAGATAAAACAAAAATGTATTTTCTACAAACAGGTACTTTGATTATTGTAAAAATACAAGTTATCTTTATTTCTTAGAAGAATAGTCCTTTTTATATTAAAATACTTGAATTTTGTTGAATAATATTATGTTACACTGCATAAAGAAAATTGAAACATGTCACGTGATCATCAAGTTAAGAGTTGGTGCACCATAGTAAAAAAAAGAGGCGAAACTTTTTGGAGTGACCAACTTATCATGTTTACATAGGTATATAGTTCTAGAACTATATGCAATATACATATAGTACTGATCTGCCCATCCCTATCTGCCATCATCCATTTTGGATCTTTTAATTATTAATTATTACAATCATATTGGCAATTATTTAAATAAATTTACTTGTTTGTAATAATTGTTTTCTATTGATTACTTTAGAATAAAATGGCTAAAAAAAAATACAAATATAAAAAAAAATCTGCAAATGATTCATATAAAATTGACATGGTTCAAGAGAAAGAAGCAAAGGCCGGGAAAGGTATATAAAATGCAATTAATTTATTGTTTTTTACACCTGTTGATCAACAGTAATTACAAATAATATGGTTAGCTCAGGTAAAACCAACAAAAAAAATCATGATGCATTTTTAACAACAAATATACTGGATCTTCTGATAATCAAAATACAAATTTGTAGCAGAAATGCAATCTGATTATAATTTATATTCATGAAATTTATCTGTTTATTAAATAAAAATAATAAAATCTAGCAGAAAATCAATTGGATTCTAAAGAAGTTACCAATCTAAAGGGAAATTAAAAGAACATTCAAAGAACAAAAGAATTCTGTTATAAAAGAATCAATTCCAAAATTTGGTTGTTATTATTTGAAAATAAATCAATTCACATTCATTATAAATTTAAAATAAAATAAAAAGCAATTAGATGCACATATAACTCACGGTTAATACTAGTCAGAATGCTGGCTGATTTTAAATAGCCATATGAATGATGTCTGATTAATTAAATAAAGTTCAACCAGATATTCATTATAGCATATCGATTGAAAGAATCAAATGTGAATGTTTCAATCAATTAAGATCAATTAGTAAACCAAAAGATATTCGATTAAACTTTGAAATTGCTGCCAAAATAACCTGATTAATTATCAAATACCAAATACCGAATGACGCCATAAATTGACACAATCAGCATGTTACAATAATCTATCTATCTATTGTATATTGAGTAGCCAATTACGATCTCCGATTTGACATCATTCTACTAGTGGCATTCACTCTCTGATTCCTCTTCTGTCAATTTGATTTCTTTTAAACTGAACTAAGGCTTTCCCCATTTTATTCTTGTTCAAGTTTATTGTGACGATTAAAATGTTAGTATTTGATAATGAAATATAAATTACAATGATTTAATGGTAAAAGATAAAAAATATTTATTTTGTAGATGTGAATGATTGCATATTTATATAAATTACCAATTCCTGTTATAAAAAAACATATCTTTTTCCTTTATGTATAAAATATAACATAAACTTTGCCATTGATGAAAATACAATTTACACAAATCTTCCATCTATATGTATTTTATGCCTATGTTAGCTATGGTAATAGAGATATGTTAATAAAAGAAATGAAACTTAATCAAATGTAAATTCAATAATTGTTTTATTGAAAGTACTAATACTAATAAACTTACCAGAAGAATGGCAAATTTATTGCAGAGAGTTCTTTATATTAAAAAAAACTAATAATACTATTTCAATATAAAAAATGAATTAATATGATTATTATCTTTATTCGAGTTCCTTCAGAAATCCAATGCTTGCTTAAAAGTGATTTCAAACCCCTATTTAAAAAGCCAGTTTAACTCTGGCAGCGAGATAGTTATCATGACTATCAAAAGATATATATTTTTTACTTCATTATTAAAAATTAAAAAATTAAATTAATTTTAATTATCGGACTTGTATGATTTCCTATTCCTTGTATTATCAATTATTTTAATAAAAAATGTTGCTGCAATCTTTTTTGAAGAAAAAAGC